TGCTGTTTCGTTGATCCAGAACTTCTAAGGCCTGTTTGTTTAAAAGAGTAGCTACTGTTTCTCTTAACATTGGTAGTTGTAACGGATGGAAGTCGAACCTTGGAGGGATGACTGTCAACGGAGGTTTGGCCTTGAGTTGTATTTGATATCCGTGCTGTAGGATGTTGGATACATAAGGATCTTGTAGGAATCCCCAGTTTTCCCAGTGCAGCTGAAGGCGTCCACCCACTTGAGATGGTTGTACTGGAACGGCTGGGGGTGGAAGACTCCAGTCGTTCCGAACCTGTACTTCATCGTTTATAGAAGCGGGAACCTCTGGATGACCTGCCTCTTGCTGATCCTCCTCTGAAATTGCCGCATGGGCGACGAAAAGACTCCTTAGGACCTTTTGCCGTAGCCAATTTCTTGTCCCGTGCTCTCTGTAGTCCAGAGAATTTCGACTTGCCAGAGTATCTCAAGGATGTTTGCTTAATGACATTAACACGTATCCATAGACTTAATCATAAGCACCTCTCTAGAGTCCTTAGACACCTCTTTGGAGACCTTGTCTATGTTACCACCAAAGAGATATGGAGATGACCACGGAGCAGCGTAGAGGGATTCAGTAAATTGATTACCCCAAGTACAGGAGGCTAGGAGACCCTGATGACGAGCCATAGTAGTAGCTGCAGAAAGCGCTGACAAGTGATCTGTTAGGAACTGTTGGTCTCTTTTCTGCATGAGTAGAGCCGAATAAATCATCCTATGTTCTTCATCTGTAGAATCTTTGAACTTGGTGATGAGAGTTTCATTGACAGTTCTAGATCTATTCAATCCAAAAAACATTCTCCTAGAAATGGTATCCAACTGGGCTAGCTTTATGCATCGCCTATCCTGTAATTCCTGGACTTGGCATCGCTGATTAACTTAAAGTTGTCATCAATCTCTTGAGCCTTGAAAAAGGAGTCCATATTGTGGCCTGCAAACTTTTAGCTGAAAACCGGAAATGTGCTGTCTGAAACTTCAGATTGGGTAAAAGCTGCATCCAGATTAGCTGGAACCGCTGCTATCGGGTCAATAGGAGGTAAGGAGATAGTGTCAGCATCATCTTCCTTCATCAAATAAGTATGGGCTGAGTTCTCGCTCTTAGACGGGAAGAAAGTTCCAAACCATTCACCATCCAGTATCTAATTTCTGCATCCGAGAATACGATACCCTCTTCCTCTTCTGACGTCGGATCACAGATAATAGAGTGAGGTGGAGTCCTAGATCTATATTAGGATCGACGAGAAGAATGTGGTGAACGGACTGACGAGTGGCTTGTATAGGGAGACCTTGGTGGAGACTTCCTTGGCGAACGCTGGTGGCTTCGTGAAGCTCTCGATGAATCCCTTATAGATCTTCTGGATGAAGATGACTTGGAGCCACTTAACCTTCGTGTAGGTATCGAGTCAGAGTCCGAATCATTAGATAGGAGCTTGCTTCGTGAACGACCTCTGTGTTCTTCAGGGTCTGAACTCGGCCAAGCACTCCTCCTCCGTGAAGCCTTCCGCGAATGGTGAGGATGTGGGTCCTTCGTGGAGGCAGCCTGGGACGTCCTTCGCGAAGGCTTCGATACGGGCTGGGTTGCCCTTCGTGGAGGCGCGTCTGTGGGCTCAGGGGCCCTACGCGAAGTCAAAGCGGGCTCTGGGGCCCTATATGACTGTGAGTGGGTTGGGCTCTGGGGCCCGTGGCTCTGAGGCCTCTGTAAACCGTATCGATCTTCCATCAGCATCATAATCTGGTTGACCAGGTCGTCTGGGACGGTCTGCGCTGATGTAGACGCTGCCCTCTCTATGGTAGCTTACGGAGGTAGATTCTCTGCCAGGTAGAACATCTGTAGCTGCGCATTGATGCTAATTCTGAGGTGACGGTAGCCGATACTGGTCGCTTCTTATGCGGTACATCTGGTAGCTCTTCTGGTCTTAGACTGGGACGACGGGATGTCCTGGGATGCAGGTCACTTCTTGGATATAGCGGACTGCGTCCCACGCTTCTCCTCCGAGGGTAACTCAAGCGGAACACCAGACGGTAGAGGGTCGTCCGCCAACAGTTGACAGGGTATATCTGACTCTGATCTATCAGCCATGACTGAAGTCTGTTTCCGTGATCTATCTGCTGCGCGTCTCAAGACACAACATAAATATTTATCAAAGGCAGAATTAGACAATTTAATACAAAAATTGCAACGTGAAACAGTAGAGCATGGCGTAGTACAACTAGGGCATATTGAATGCGGATCAGCAGCAGAGAAACATAATTTACAAACAGTACAGATTTTCATTAACGCAGTCTACTGAGCAAACACGGGCGGACCGCGGAATAAACAGTAGAAACACAATAAATATCAATGCATCATGTATAAGGATACTAGTTACACCTCTATAGATGATTATAAGAGGTAAACAACTAAATATAAATAAAGGATATAATGTGTAGGGAGACACAGGCGCTCTCACGTCCTGCTCACTGGGTGAAGAAGGAGAGAGTGAGGCACATGGCAGGTGGCGCCCTCGTTCCCGCACTTACGAGGGGACAGATAACTCGTGGTGAGTACTAATTAGTGATTTTACATTGAAGGGAACTTCAATTGGGAGATACAAGTGTTCCACTGTGTTCGCAAGAAGAAGAAGACAAGCAAGTAGCATGAGTCAGGATAAGGAAAAATAATACTCCTTATCTGCCACCATGTGACATGGTAGACAAGTAATACTCCTTATCTGCCACCCTGTGACATGGTACACAAGTAATACACCTTATCTGCTACCATGTGACATGGTAGACAAGTAATACATACCATGTGACATGGTAGACAAGTAATACACCTTATCTGCCACCATGTGACATGGTACACAAGTAATACACCTTATCTGCCACCATGTGACATGGTAGACAAGTAATACACTGTATCTACCACCATGTGACATGGTACACAAGTAATACTCCTTATCTGCCACCATGTGACATGGTACACAAGTAATACACCTTATCTGCCACCATGTGACATGGTACACAAGTAATACACCTTATCTGCCACCATGTGACATGGTAGACAAGTAATACACTGTATCTACCACCATGTGACATGGTACACAAGTAATACTCTTTATCTGCCACCATGTGACATGGTACACATGTAATACACTGTATCTACCACCATGTGACATGGTAGACAAGTAATACACCTTATCTGCCACCATGTGACATGGTACACAAGTAATACACCTTATCTGCCACCATGTGACATGGTAGACAAGTAATACACCTTATCTGCCACCATGTGACATGGTACACAAGTAATACTCCTTATCTGCCACCATGTGACATGGTACACAAGTAATACACCTTATCTGCCACCATGTGACATGGTAGACAAGTAATACACCTTATCTGCCACCATGTGACATGGTAGACAAGTAATACACTGTATCTACCACCATGTGACATGGTAGACAAGTAATACTCCTTATCTGCCACCATGTGACATGGTAGACAAGTAATAGTACTAATACACCTTATTAGCCACCATGTGACAAGCAGTACACTACCTCCCACTTAGTCATGACAACAAATACAACTTGATTTTAACCTGTACATCTTGGTTTGTATTTCAAAGACAGTGCTCACAGATGTTGTTGTACATTAATCTCACCAGGGCTCCAGACAAAGTTATAATCCATTCAGTATATACACATATGTTGACATTTATATTGGGAACTTGGGTGTATTGGATTATCCAATGTATGTATATATGTATTACATGTAACTTTCTTCTGTTTGAGAGCTGACCTTAGTGAATCACTGTGCATTATTCACGGCAGTAGAGTCAATGAATAAGTGATGAATGATACCATGAGCATTAACATATCCATGAATGATCACAGTATGTAAAAGATAGACAGTGGGGGGTTTAAGAAATACCTTTCCGGGTACACAAGTTATGAAGAAAAATGAAAATTTCTAAATGTAAGCAACCAACTACAGGAATCTAGACTTATCTACCAAAACACGTTGTAAAGAGGGTAGGACGCTGCACCAGATGAAGACTGAATATCATCATGTTTTCACCTTTATTTCACTGCAATTACTTACCAAACCATCAAAAGGAAAACCACCTGACATAAAACAATTGATAACGAGGGTATTTTTTAACAAAAGTACACAAAATTATAAGGTGGACATACACCACAATACCCAATACCAAGCCATCATATTAGCAGTGTATGAAAGAAGCCAAAAACCCAGCCAGACATCTGGGCTGGTAACTTCAAAAACCTACCAGCCCAGAATAGATTTAACCAGTCCTTCTTAAATACTAAATAGACAGTGCCAGTGGACACGTTATCTGAATATTTTTTTCACCCGGCCATCGGGCTGGCTAGCTGTAAAATTAGACCGTCCGGCAGAAATCTAGCCTGTCTCGGGCGGTCGGACAGGCCTTATTTCATACACTGATATTAGTGGTAGGAAACATTGTCACCTCCGAGGCCCAGGGAGGCTTGCCCCATGCAGTTTGATTGATTACATTAGACTGTGTGTGGCTTGAGCATATGTTCAATATTTGAGAAGAACTTCACTGTTTGGAGGGTGAATGCTACGTGACTAGAGGTAGCACCAACAAGTGATGTGGAAGCCACCAGCGTACATACATACCTGCATGCGACACATGGACTGCCGACGCTTACAGAAACAAGACACACATTAGACACATCACAACGACACATTGTAAACACATACCATGACAAGACGTACACACGAACAACACAAGCAAAGTTAAGCACGTAAGCATAAATACATGTACCAGTGTAAGTCAGTATTATCTTCTTTCCAGTATAACACTAGTGACTTGATGCTAGAGACTGCGTACAATCAAATCTGCCTGGTGGCTGGAGTAGACAGTACTCCTGAGTCTATCAGTTTATAAAGACTTTCCCCGCAACCTAAATGTAACAGTGAAACCACAGCCTCCTCTGCCAGCCTACCTTCAACTTTGGTGTCGTCCTTGGCCTTGTACTCTGTGCTCTTGATGGCCAGCTCCACGCCATACCCAGACAGACGGACCTGGGACTCGGAGGGATTCTGTTGGTAAGTGTGTAATGATAACAGATATTCCTTTATTCAGACAGAGATGCGTTTTGACCAACTCTCAACCCATCATACATTTGTGTAAGCTTTCCTTACTCTTACCAATGATACATTTATGCATATGATTCAGTTCAAATCTACTGACACTTGGTATGTTTAACCTATCTTCTCACCACTCTAAACGATATGTTCAGATATTACTGTTCTGTTGGTGATAGTCTGTCTGTCTGTCTGTCTGTCTGTTCTATTGGTGATAGTCTGTCTGTCTGTCTGTCCGTCCATATAAATAATTGTAGAGCGCTAGGATCTGGTAGAACCACTCACCAGAGTACTACAGTAAAGCCATCACATGGGTTGGCACGTTGTAACTACCTGCCAATTTCCACACATTGTACAACATGTTCGGTGGTTGTAACGAATATCATATGATCGATATGCTACCTCTCATGCGATTCAATCTGCCAATATAATATTAGTATCAATCTCATACTATTTCGCATTATTTTGTTTCCATATCAAAATGTCAGCAGTTATCTGCAGTGCGATACTATGTGAGGAAGACGACAGTAACTTTTCTGGAACTGCCAAGCTGATCGCATTAGCGCAGCATTCCTCCCTTCTCTTTTGTTATCCCTGCTCGTGATATTCCATAGCGTTTTGTTACACAGATAATAAGTTACGAAACGCTCTGTTTCCTCATGTGAAATATCAGGGCATGGTTTCTTTGAAGCAGACGAAGCCATGTTTCACGCTTGTATGTATACATTTACCACGTGACACCAAAACGCAATTTGATTGGCCGCGCCACATCCAACTTGCCAAATAACTAGAGCAGGCTATACACATTCGTGACATAATCGACGCGGGTTCGAACGGCCAGTTTGTACCATTTGTTGAATTTTATTAATCACTCAGACGATACAACTCGGTCGAATACGGCATATCGATTCAATGGACCAACCCGTGTAAGTCTGCCTTCAGACAACTTTGCACAAATGACGCCCTACTCTGCCATATGTTCCCATCCACTATCGATGCACTTATAAAATACCTGCATGAAGTGCCTGAACACGTAACGGATCTTCCTCTCAGAAGCTTTCTGCGATAATGCTGTGTGGAAGTTGATGAAAGTCTGGGTGCCGACCTCAGCATACAGTATGACCATGATGTCCTCCAACTCGGTGCCTGGATATATGTGGTCGAAGGAGTACACTGCAGGCACAGGTCTGCAAACATCAACATCAGATAATATATACACTTCTTAGAAACACAGTGGAATGTACAGGATGGCTGACACAAAAAGCCTTCATAGGATAACATACGAATGCTTTTTGAATAACTATATACATGATATTTCTTGCAAAAAATAAGATTGTTATCTCTCACACATACAGAAAGAAAAGGAAATGCAGCTTGACACGTGCAACACCCTTGATTCAACATGTGAAACCTACCACCAACCATACTGTGGCCAAACATTCAGAAACAGATTAGCTCTTCTCGAAATGTTCGTAGCCCTACGAACTTCTTAAGCCCATTCTTAACACATTGGCTATGATCAAAGTTAAGAATTCTTAGGGATACGAACATTTCGAGAATAAGGTCCCAGGAACAGACATTCTACTGCCAGTGATGGTTTATTACCTTTCTTTTGCTGATTTAATCAGTTGATCAAGTTTAGATGGGTCACATGATATACTTCCATGGATGTCAACAAAGCCCTCACAATTCTCCACCATACCAGCTTCTGCAGCAATCTGGACAGGAAAAGGGTGCATTTAATTATAAGCACTTTTGACAAGCTATCAATAATCAGGTCTACAAAAGACAAGGCTGTGCTGCACAGTATTACTGACAAGTTATCAATAATCAGGTCTACAAAAGACAAGGCTGTGCTGCACAGTATTACTGACAAGCTATCAATAATCAGGTCTACAAAAGACAAGGCTGTGCTGCACAGTATTACTGACAAGCTATCAATAATCAGGTCTACAAAAGACAAGGCTGTGCTGCACAGTATTACTGACAAGTTATCAATAATCAGGTCTACAAAAGACAAGGCTGTGCTGCACAGTATTACTGACAAGCTATCAATAATCAGGTCTACAAAAGACAAGGCTGTGCTGCACAGTGTTACTGACAAGCTATCAATAATCAGGTCTACAAAAGACAAGGCTGTGCTGCACAGTATTACTGACAAGCTATCAATAATCAGGTCTGCAAAAGACAAGGCTGTGCTGCAAAGCACTACTGACAAGTTATCAATATTCAGGTCTACAAAAGACCAGGCTGTGCTGCACAGTATTACTGACAAGCTATCAATAATCAGGTCTACAAATGACAAGGCTGTGCTGCACAGTATTACCGACAAGTTATCAATAATCAGGTCTACAAAAGACAAGGCTGTGCTGCACAGTATAACTGACAAGCTATCAATAATCAGGTCTACAAAAGACAAGGCTGTGCTGCACAGTGTTACTGACAAGCTATCAATAATCAGGTCTACAAAAGACAAGGCAGTGCTGCACAGTATTACTGACAAGCTATCAATAATCAGGTCTGCAAAAGACCAGGCTGTGCTGCAAAGCACTACTGACAAGTTATCAATATTCTGGTCTACAAAAGACCAGGCTGTGCTGCACAGTATTACTGACAAGCTATCAATAATCAGGTCTACAAAAGACCAGGCTGTGCTGCACAGTGTTACTGACAAGCTATCAATAATCAGGTCTACAAAAGACAAGGCTGTGCTGCACAGTATTACTGACAAGCTATCAATAATCAGGTCTGCAAAAGACCAGGCTGTGCTGCAAAGCACTACTGACAAGTTATCAATATTCTGGTCTACAAAAGACCAGGCTGTGCTGCACAGTATTACTGACAAGCTATCAATAATCAGGTCTACAAAAGACCAGGCTGTGCTGCACAGTGTTACTGACAAGCTATCAATAATCAGGTCTACAAAAGACAAGGCTGTGCTGCACAGTATTACTGACAAGCTATCAATAATCAGGTCTGCAAAAGACAAGGCTGTGCTGCAAAGCACTACTGACAAGCTATCAATAATCAGGTCTACAAAAAACCAGGCGGTGCTGCACAGTATTACTGACAAGATATCAATAATCAGGTCTACAAAAGACCAGGCTGTGCTGCACAGTATTACTGACAAGTTATCAATAATCAGGTCTACAAAAGACAAGGCTGTGCTGCACAGTATTACTGACAAGTTATCAATAATCAGGTCTACAAAAGACAAGGCTGTGCTGCACGGTATTGCTGACAAGCTATCAATAATCAGGTCTACAAAAGACCAGGCTGTGCTGCACAGTGTTACTGACAAGCTATCAATAATCAGGTCTACAAAAGACAAGGCTGTGCTGCACAGTAGTACTGACAAGATATCAATAATCAGGTCTACAAAAGACAAGGCTGTGCTGCACAGTATTACTGACAAGCTATCAATAATCAGGTCTACAAAAGACAAGGCTGTGCTGCACAGTATTACTGACAAGCTATCAATAATCAGGTCTGCAAAAGACCAGGCTGTGCTGCACAGCACTACTGACAAGCTATCAATAATCAGGTCTGCAAAAGATTAGCCTGATTTGATTTAGCTTTAATTCATACAGAATATGTAGGCATTCTGCGGTGTTACCTGCTGATACATCTGTACGGTTGGTGAGTGAGCTCGCAATGCAAGAGTAAATCTCAGCAGATTGAGCTGCAAGGGAGACAACACTTTGCTGGCCAACTTCTGTATCAGGTGGTACTGGGACTCATCCGTTTCTGGAATACACCAACAGTCAAACAATAACTCATAAACCACTTCCGACTAATACAATTAAACTATTTGTGTTAGTTTGCAGAAGATATTCTCTTAAACCTCAGGCTGATAAATATTCAATCTTTTAAGATGTTGATTACTTTGAAATATCTACAATGCTGTGTAGCCTCCTGGTTAACACCTTTAACAGGGAATGCATGAAGAAAGCTGATTTTTGCACAAAACCATTTTGACGTTTCTTACCTCCCTTGACATTTTTTGTACCAAGATTGGACAAATCATTGATAAAAGTCCAAAAGTAGTCACTTGACTCTTTTGCAATGCCTTCACTGGAAGTAGAATAAAACAAAGGAAGGAATAAAAAATTGAATGTGCATAATATGATTAAGTTATGAATACACATCATGCACAAAGTACTCATAACAAGGATTTCATAAGCAATAACAAACAGCCTGTGTACGATGAAATGAATATTTCAGCAAACTATAATCGATAAGCAGTGATGTGCTCACAATGGAATCTGAGGGGAAACCAAGCAATTTGTTTGGGATTCTGTTTCCTTAAACTTAAAACAAATATAATGTCCACAACCACTAACAAACTATTGTTTTCAAATTGGCAAGATAAAAGAATGTGTCAGGCTTGTGGTGCATTTTTTATTTTGTTAAACATTAAATGAGATTCAACTGACTTCAGTGTTTTGTATCTATGGAGTTACATATTTACAGAATTATTAGTCTGACCTATGTGCAACTGTAAAACAAAGAAATTTAAATTGTATTTTATTCAACAATAAAGGGACCATTAAACAGTTTTAAACTTTCAATGACCATAAAAATGGCATCAACATTAATATTTTCAACTTCTCACCTTGCTTCAAGAAGAATGGGTGTGTGTTTCCATTTACTCTCCAGAGAGATACTGATGTACTTGGACTTGGCACTGACAGGTGTCAGTGTAGCCAGCAAAATCACTATTGCAAACATGGTACCATCCACCTACAAGGCAAACATTGCATCAATTTAATATACACAATCTTAAAAATAGTCTTGACTGCTCTAACAATTTTACAATATAATGTTCTGCTGGAAATCAAAGCAGAATAACATAGTAAACAGTAAACTAATTGTCTTAATCTAAAAAATCAAACTCAGTCAGTACTGATGGGGGTACTGCACTTTACTGGACTCACATTTTCATATTAATTAGCATTTCAGGGGCTCGAACATGCTTTGCCAGATAACTGACTTAGTTATAGTGACGTAATTAGTGGATGCTCTACCTCGGGACCACAAGCTCCACTGCTTCTGGGACTGCACTGACGAGACTCAGATGGGGCGAAATGTGTTTTAACTGGAAAGCCCCCCAATGTTCCTACGCCCCTGCCTACTGATCTGTAGTTCTAGTTGTGTTTCTTCAAAAGTTTAATCCATTTTCACTAACATTTACGGACACTTTATCCACTATTTCTACCTGCACCATAAAACATAAGTCATTAACCATATTAAGTGGGAGTCAGGTGCAGTCAGACTGTAACTTTATTTATCCTTAGGGTTAGGGTTTAGGGTAAGGGTATGCCACCCTTTACGATCCTTAGGTTTAGGGTTTAGGGTAAGGGTATGCCACCCTTTACGATCCTTAGGTTTAGGGTAAGGGTATGCCACCCTTTACGATCCTTAGGTTTAGGGTTAGGCACCCTTTACGATCCTTAGGGTTAGGGTTAGGGAACCCCAGCAGAGCTAATTAATCCGAAAGATTGCGCCCGGTAAAGTGCAGTACTCCCATTTCTATACGATATCGTTACCTGATGCGTAAACATTGTCAACTGTTTGTTTGCTTGTCGATGATATTGCTGTTTAAATGTCTCCAGCCATGATTTCGATCTGAAATGCAACGTGTCGTTCAAAAGCGCCTCAGAGTGATTTCTCGAAAAAAAGTCGTTGATAATAGATTTTATACTCAAATATTTGAATAGATAAAGCATTGAGGTAAAACGAATACCAAAATTATATAACTGATTTTGATCTGGAACGATACGACATGTATTTTCCTGTGACTAAACTAAACTAAACATGTAAACGGCACGAACCTTCCTGGACGCAGCCATATTGTAGATCAGCACAAACATATTCAATGTGGACAGTTTTCATTGGATAATTATTCCACAACTCATTTCACTAAAGTTATCGAAAAGTATAATCAAAATGCTATTCAACATATTTCGCTCAAAGAATATTATTTGGTGTTCTGTCCATTAATGTTTAATTGTATTGACTGTGAGACTATAACCCGGAAGAGAATCGTCTGCAATGCCATGCAAATTCGATTTGCTGTCAAAATCCCTGATCTACACGCTTGTCTGTCTGTGTGGAGTTTCTGAAACGGTTAAACTCTGGCAATGAATGGTATCGCACCTGAAATCATTTCAACTTCTTAAAATTGCACTTATTATGCGTGTCAGTCAGATGTTATAGGTGAAAACCAACAGTGAACCTGCTATGTCGGTGTGTGCTTGGCATCAGCCTTCAGCCAGTGCAGAGGCAGAACCGCATAACGTGACGACTGAAAAACAGACTGACTGCATGGCCGCGGCAACTGCGTTGGGTAGAATCGATCGATGGCGCTTGGCGCAATAGCCACCAATATAAAGGTAATTGTGGCGACTATTTAGCCGGGAATCTGTTGGTCGGACGCTATACACAACATGAGCTGAATTCAGAGGAGGGATTTGTTAATTTTCATCCTCCCTTTTCAATCACGGAATGATTGTACCAGGAGAATAAGACTTAAAACCGACACTATTGTGCCCATAACCATCATGGATCTTCAGACGACCAGTGTCATGGACTCTTTTTTGTAGTTGTATTTGAATGACAACATACAACAGCCAAGGATGAATGGTTGCTGAAGAGTAATTGGATTATTCGGCTATTCGGTTTATGAATCAGTGATACTATTATCTTGACTAAACTTACTGATATGTTACATGCTAATTTGTATATTATCAGAACTGTCAGATCAAGGATATATGTTTGATCTTGAATATCTGACTTACCAACAGGTTTTGTACAGTATCATTATTGTGTCATTCACTTAGATCATACAAAATGTCACTAACACCTTGGGATTTCAGTGGTCTTGGAATGGGTTTTGGCCTTTATCGCCCAAGGCGGCCAAGTTACACTTTTGCAACACAGTGTAGCCGCCGCCAAAGAAGCGAAAGTTACAGGTATGCCACAAGAAGAGAAACTGACATTGCCGAACAATCAGAAGACTTCATAGATGATATGATGCGAAAAAAGAGGAAAGCAAGTTATATAAAGGCAACTCGGAAAATGGATGAAATTGAATTGGATAATGTTATTAACGAAAATCGGGAACCATGTTGGAAATGACACTAGAGTACAGAACCATGTATGTCAAAAGCATAATGTTAAAGAGGTGGTTATTGAAGAAAACTCCAAATCACCAGAAACCTATGAGGACCCTGAAGAGCCAACACCTAGTTCAAGTGAACAAGGCAGCAGTATTCCATCAATAATAATGTTCACCTTCAAGAAGAACCTGATTGTTCTGTGTGCAAGTTTCATTCTAATATTTTCTTCATTTCGAGCCATTCAGAATCTTCAGTCATCTGTGAACACTGCTTCAAATTTAGGAATTATTACAATGAGTTGTGTTCATGGAACAACAGTTCTCACATGTTTATTAGCACCTGTAGTGATCAACATTTTCTCAGCTAAGTGGTCATTAGCTCTGGGAATGTTATGTTATCTCATCTGGTTTGGAGCTAATTTCTATCCCCGATTTTACACCTTGATTCCAACTGCACTTTTGGCTGGACTAGGCCAAGGTATCCTCTGGACTGCAGAGATATCATACGTCTTGAAATTAGCATTTGATTCAGCAAGGGTTACAAAAGACCTTTTGGAGCATGAAATGTTTCGTTTTCATGGAATTTTCTTAGCATGCTTTCAAACAACGCACATATGGGGAAATCTTATATCTTCCATACTGATTGGTCAAAAACCCAAACCAGTATCAAGTTTTGGAAATACGTCCATGTTCACTGATGCTATAATAAAGATTCAAGACTGTGGCGTGTTACATCGATGTCAAACGAATAAATTGATGGGTAAGTTGCAGGCTGCCAATCCATATTGGAATTTTTCTGAATTTGAATTTCATGTTCTCTGTGCATGTAAGTGGTTTTGCATAAAAACTTCCATTTATTATGCAATATGTTCTTTTGAGAAATCTATGCTTCCTGCAAGAAGATTGCATGTTTTTGTCTTGTGTGTGTTCAGCTATTATGTGGCCAAGCATGATGCTGTATTTTCTGAGTTAAATTTTCTGTGCAACTCAACAGGGCTTTTTATAATTAATTTCATTGTTTTGCACTAAAACTGGAAACTGGGGATTTTAACAAATGATATATTAAACAGCTTTCTTGTATAGTCAAAGAACGTGATCAATGTTGTGTCTGTTAAGAAAGAATTTCCATGGATTTTCAACAACTATGTACATTGATATATATAAACACTTTTGAGAAAGATTATTCTTCATTTTCCTTTTGTTTTCTGAAAGGCATCAAAACCAAACAGCACCAATGTTATTTGAGTACAGGCCATACAGATAAGCTATGTGTGTTATATTAAGCGAAGAAGTGAAAATTTACCTGCATGAACCCTGGACTGAGCCATGAGTTCAAATACTATAGACGATACAGGGGTGGAAATAACTTTAAAATTGCTAGTGTACTCTGGTACAGTGGCACATGTAAAATCACTTGCCCTGATAATTTTTCCACTATACCGTCCATTTTCTTGTAGATTTTTTAAATAAACAACATAATTAACATTGGAAACTCAGCTGGACACCGGTACAGTGTGATATACAAATTTGCTTGCCCGACAGAAAAAAACACTTGACTCGGACGTCGGGCAATGGGTTATTTCCACCCCTGCGATAATGTTATTCTCAACTTTATGTTTCTCAGTTATTTCTTCAATTTGTTGTAAAGTCAGTGAAACAGTCTGGCGATGTATTTCTATTCATATCCAATGTTAATGCATAGCTTCTTTGAGAGGCATTTAAAGCGTTGATGCATGCATAAAGCACAATAACCTTATAATCACTAAAAATTGTGAGATAGCAACAAGTCACTTCCAGGTGATATCCAGCATTCATAGCACTTAAAGGGAGTTTGGGCACCATGGCTTAAACACAGACTACAACATTATCAAGAGTATTATTTCATGCACTTTATTCACATAATGGTTTGTGACAGTGGGCAGATAGATGGTGAAGACAACCTGGTAATAGTCATGGGTCCAGTTGGTCACTTTTCCATGGATCCTGTCGCACGACAGTTTGCATGTTGTTTTGTACATCAAATTAATTTTAATGAAAATAGCCACGTTAAAACATACCTTTTTCTTGACAATGAGCGTTTGGTATCTGTAATTGCATGATATTAATTTGATATCCATTATCTTATGATCATGAAGTGAGCAAGGCATGAAAGAAAATCACAAGATTCAAAATAGCATGCATCTAAGTTACTTACATGTAGCTTGTTTCATGTATGATTTCTTATATTTATCTATTTACTTAACATAGAAATAGATGTAAAAAGTGTAAATGTCTATTAAATTTCACATAATGTTGATATTGTTGATTTATGATAGTATTTAACAGGTGTGTTTATCATTAAGCTTGAATATTATCCATTACATGTTTCCTTGAAACTTTGGAAAAGGTGCAATTTTGGAACCAGTAAATATTTGAAATGCATTTCTAGAACTGTCTTTCCCATTGAAGAAATGATCAACTGTGGTGCATATTTGTATTGTGACCTTCACTTCAGCTGATCTTAAATTCAAGTTGTATTGTGTTTTCTTTCAGCTATCATTTATTTGGTGTGTCCTAGCCTCCGTGGTAGCTGTAGCTGTGTTGGATGACATGCATGACATATGTGAGACGTGTAGACGTGTTGTATGTCATGTGCATGACATGTCTTATGTGTGTAGTTCAACAGTCTCTGACAGGTAATTTGTACTCTATAGTTTTTCATGTAATGTAAATGCCCTGGAAAATGCCATGGCTTGTCTACAAAAAGCAATAGTATGTTAATATATATAGCTGAGAAGTACTGGAATTTAAACTTAGGACTAAGATCTATCAGTGTGGCTCTGGCACAGAAAATATGAACATATCAAATATGAAAACTTCTACAGTGGTTAATATATTTTCACTTCAAATCCTTGATTATTGCAATGTATTATGGCTTGGATGCATCCATATACTGAAAGAAGAATGTTTTAACTTTCATATAATTTTACTACTCAGGAGTATTTGGATAATTGTCAGCGAGAGGATGCCATCTTGCTTTCTTCATTTAGAACAATATGATGTTCACCATTGTTTATGGAGTTGCCGATAGATGATATGATATTATCAGAACAATAGAGGTTGACTTCAGTGAAATTGTAGTTTCATGGTTCTCAACTTACCTTCTTAAAATGACTTTATCTCACATAATAGATGATGTTGGCACCTCACTCAAGACAAATTTTGAAGCGTTCCCTGTGTGCTTTTCTAAGTAGTTCCCATGCTGTATTATGTATACTTTCCATGACACTACTCACATGAACAGATTATTGTTGTGGGTAGTAACAAAAGTCAAAGTGATAAGACCCAATGTCTTATATGGCCAGCATGAAGTACTGCCCCACACCTCAGATCATGAGGACAGATCACATGTTGAGGATTGTTAGCAAGCTGTTCCAGTGTATGTATCATGATAATGCTCACATATGCGGCTATCCGACTTATTCCATGGTATTAAATTTGTTTCAAATGTGGCAAACAAGAGGGCCACTGGTGGACTTTACATTCACGTAACTGCTGTTTTACATGCTGCGTGTTTAGTACCCATATTATTTGCTGCCAGTTTTTGACAACTACTTAAATAAGTCAAATGATGACTAATAATGTGACAATGGTGGGTGCATGGACCTTTGGTTTTGGATGGTGACATTTTGAGAATAGAAGAAAGTAAAAATGTTTGAAAGCACAAGGAGGTCTTACAACAAGCCTTGAAAAGTGTGATCATTTTCCTGTACAAGGCGTAAAACTGTTGCCTTTAGTTGAGTAAGAAGTGAGTGAGTGTAGTTTTACAGCGCAGTCAGCAACATTCCAGCTATATGGTGGTGGTCTGTAAATAATCGAGTCTGGACCAGACTATCCAGTGACCAACAGCATGAGCATCAATCTGCGCAATTGGTAACCGATGACATGTGTCAACCAAGTCAGCGAGCCTGACCACCTGATCCCATTAGTCGCCTCTTACTACAAGCATGGGTTACTGAAGATCAATATTTTAACCTGGACCTTGACTGGTTTGTGTAAGAAAGGTGAATAATGATGACAGATGACATCATAATGGGTTCAAATACACAAACAGACACTTAAACATAGTAAATGTTTTTTATACCAAGGGTTTTACTGGACTCAGAATACTGCATCGTGTATACATACAAATAGAGAATGTTGGTTTCCCAGGGTTTTACTGGACACAGAATACTGCATCCTGTATACATACAAATAGAAAATGTTGGTTTCCCATGGTTTTACTGGACACAGACTACTGCATCCTGTATACATACAAATAGAAAATGTTGGTTTCCCATGGTTTTACTGGACACAGAATACTGCATCCTGTATACATACAAATAGAGAATGTTGGTTTCCCATGGTTTTACTGGACACAGACTACTGCATCCTGTATACATACAAATAGAGAATGTTGGTTTCCCATGGTTTTACTGGACACAGACTACTGCATCCTGTATACATACAAATAGAGAATGTTGGTTTCCCAGGGTTTTACTGGACACAGAATACTGCATCCTGTATACATACAAATAGAGAATGTTGGTTTCCCAGGGTTTTACTGGACACAGAATACTGCATCCTGTATACATACAAATAGAGAATGTTGGTTTCCATACAAATAGAGAATGTTGGTTTCCCAGGGTTTTACTGGACACAGGTTTTACTGGACACAGAATACTGCATCCTGTATACATACAAATAGAGAATGTTGGTTTCCCATCGTATACATACAAATAGAGAATGGGTTTTACTGGACACAGAATACTGAGAATGTTGGTTTCCCAGGGGTTTTACTGGACACAGAATACTGCATCCTGTATACATACAAATAGAGAATGTTGGTTTCCCAGGGTTTTACTGGACACAGAATACTGCATCGTGTATACATACAAATAGAGAATGTTGGTTTCCCAGGGTTTTACTGGACACAGAATACTGCATCCTGTATACATACAAATAGAGAATGTTGGTTTCCCAGGGTTTTACTGGACACATAGAGAATGTGCATCCTGTATACATACAAATAGAGAATGTTGGTTTCCCAGGGTTTTACTGGACACAGAATTTACTGTGTTGGTTTCCCACACACAGAATACTGCATCCTGTATACATACAAATAGAGAATGTTGGTTTCCCAGGGTTTTACTGGACACAGACTACTGCATCCTGTATACATACAAATAGAGAATGTTGGTTTCCCATGGTTTTACTGGACACAGAATACTGCATCAAATAGTATACATACAAATAGAGAATGTTTGGTTTCCCAGGGTTTTACTGGACACAGAATACTGCATCCTGTATACATACAAATAGAAAATGTTGGTTTCCAGGGTTTACTGGACACAGAATACTGGACACAGAATACTGCATCCTGTATACATACAAATAGAGAATGTTGGTTTCCCAGGGTTTTACTGGACACAGACTACTGCATCCTGTATACATACAAATAGAGAATGTTGGTTTCCCATGGTTTTACTGGACACAGACTACTGCATCGTGTATACATACAAATAGAGAATGTTGGTTTCCCAGGGTTTTACTGGACACAGAATACTGCATCCTGTATACATACAAATAGAGAATGTTGGTTTCCCAGGGTTTTACTGGACACAGACTACTGCATCGTGTATACATACAAATAGAGAATGTTGGTTTCCCAGGGTTTTACTGGACACAGAATACTGCATCCTGTATACATACAAATAGAGAATGTTGGTTTCCCAGGGTTTTACTGGACACAGAATACTGCATCGTGTATACATACAAATAGAGAATGTTGGTTTCCCAGGGTTTTACTGGACACAGAATACTGCATCCTGTATGGCTGAAGTATTGCTTTTTTAATCAAAACCTTGTATAGTGCAAGGTGCAAAGAGCTATTACTTCTACTAGGGTCGGAAACATGTGGAATGTTCAGGGTGTCAAGAGTTGATTTTCTTCATGAAATCAGCGTCTGTAACAGACTTGTCACTTCTGAGCATGTGCAGCAGTAATATTCTTTTTAATTCTCTTGGAAACCAAGTTAAGCTTCCACCTGTTGCCGGACCAGGTCGCCCATGTTGATGCTTGGACATTCAACGTCTATTTCTGACAGCCCCAATATAGAGTAAGGTTTGGATTTAACCAATGAGGTAGCTTGGTAATCCTCATCAGCACTGGACAATGGTTGTCCAGTATATAAGTGTCCTGTCTGAAACTGTCTCAGTGCTCTAACTGTTGATGCCAAAGTAGCTGATTGACGCCAGGGTGAAAAATTATATGACTCGATCTCTGACATGGCATCATTTTTGTGTCAGCTTTGACATTCAGGAAACCATTTTGATTTTTTATGGCCTAAAGTGGGTATTCTGCTTCAACGTTTACCCTTTTGATGGTTAATATAGTTTTATCAGAGAAAAGTCTAAGTGTGTTTTATACATGTATTAGAAGTAGCTATTGTGCATAAGCGTGGTCATTTCTTCTTTGATTGTGTCATTTTTGGTGTTGTGTAATGTTGTTGTTTTCATGTTTGGCTAAGCTTTGAACACAACGGTTTTGCCAAATGACAAAGTTTGTATTTTAGAACTATTCAACATACAAATGTTTCAATAGAAATTGTTGTGGATATGTTGGAAACAGGTATCAGCCCAACACCTTAATCACAATTCTTAATCCCTTTTTAGCTACATACATGACACTTTGAAATTACTTATCAATAGCTGTAGCATTGAACTACGCTCAATCTGGCATGTCCAGTTTGTATTTTCTTTTCAAAACTATGTTCTCTGACTATCTCTACTGAGGCCCAGAAATGTCAAAGTGTCTTGTGTTTTGCTTTGACATATTAGCTGCTGCTCTTCCACACCCACACACATATTTGTGAGCAGTCTCTAACCTTCATGTGTTCTCCTTTGTGTCAGTGGTAGGTGTGCTTACTCTGTTAGCTGAAAAATGTACAATATAATTACACAGTAGTAGGTCTCCCTGCTCAGTTACCTGATGTGTGTACATTGTAGTCACACACTAGTAGGTCTCCCTGCTCTGTTACCTGATGTGTGTACACTGTAGTCACACACTAGTAGGTCTCCCTGCTCTGTTACCTGATGTGTGTACACTGTAGTCACACACTAGTAGGTCTCCCTGCTCTGTTACCTGATGTGTGTACACTGTAGTCACACACTAGTAGGTCTCCCTGCTCTGTTACCTGATGTGTGTACACTGTAGTCACACACTAGTAGGTCTCCCTGCTCTGTTACCTGATGTGTGTACATTGTAGTCACACACTAGTAGGTCTCCTGCTCTGTTACCTGAAGTGTGTACATTGTAGTCACACAGTAGGTCTCCCTGCTCTGTTACCTTACATTGTAGTAGGTCTCCCTGCTCTGTTACCTGATGTGTGTACACTGTAGTCACACACTAGTAGGTCTCCCTGCTCTGTTACCTGATGTGTGTACACTGTAGTCACACACTAGTAGGTCTCCCTGCTCTGTTACCTGATGTGTGTACACTGTAGTCACACACCTGATGTGTGTACACTGTCTCCCTCCCTGCTCTGTTACCTGATGTGTGTACACTGTAGTCACACACTAGTAGGTCTCCCTGCTCTGTTACCTGATGTGTGTACACTGTAGTCACACACTAGTAGGTCTCCCTGCTCTGTTACCTG